ACCAGATTTGGAATGTTCCCAATACCACTAAATAACATTTGAGGTGATGGATATTCAAATTACCCCAGTTTGATCATTACACATTATATGCATGTATCAAAATAGCACATGTACCCCGTAAATATGTACAATTATATAACAGTAAAATCTTCAAACATTTTTGAAGTCAATACCAAAAAACCATATTTACTTTATTATTCATTATCTACTGCTGCATAAGAAATAATCCCCAAACTTATTTCTTTGAAAAACATTTATTGTCTTCTAAGTCCTATGGGTAAGGCATACAAGGTCCTCTGGTTCAGAATTTCTCACAAGGCTGCAATCAAGATGTCCACAGAGCTGCAAGCATTTCAAGGATCAACTAGGGAAGGATCTGCGTCTCAATTCATGCTTTTGTTGTAGGCAGAATTTAGTTTTGCACAAGCCGTTCACCTTGGGGCTTCCGTTACTTGCTGGCTGTTGGCCACAGGAGATGCTCAGTTTCTTGACATGTGGGTCTCTTTCAAAGGCAGTTTACCACATTGCAGCTTGCTTCATCAAAGCAAACAAATAAGAGGGCAAAAGAGAGACAGTGTAAGCAAGAGAAAAGTCATAGTTTTCTGGAACCCAATCTCAGAAATGATGTAATATCACTATTGTCCTACTCTGTTCATTGGTAGAGTCACTGGGTCAAGCCTACATTCAAAGGAGGGAGATTATACAAGGGGACGAGTGCTATGTGATGGAGATCATTGGGTCATCTTAGAAGGTCTCCTACCACACCTCATAAAGTTATTGTAGAAATTAAATGGTCTTAATGTATCTGTAATTCATTGTAGACTACCTAGGATACAGCAGATATGCAACAAATATGAATGTATTCTTCCCTCTCTAGTAGAATAAAACTCCTAGGAGACAAAGACATAATCAGTGAGCCCTGCAGTACCTAAGCCAACTTTGCTCTCAACACCCAGTAGAGGCATAAATGATACTGACACTACTGTTCACAATCTCGCTAACATTATCTTTATTTTCAGAAGGTACAACCTATTACCTTTCCGCAGTGACTCATTTACAGTACAAGAGCATGGTAGGCAGAATAATATCCCCCAAAGAGGTCCATAGTCCAATCTATAGAACTTGTGAATAAATTACTTTACATAGGAAAAGGAACTTTACACATGTAATCAAGTTAAGGTTCCTGAAATGGGAAGACTGGCATGGTTTATCCAGGTGGGTTCAATTTTATCACAAGAATCCTTTAAAAGCAGAGAACCATTCCTGGCTGTGGTCAGAGAAACACCTGTGATTATGCCAGAATGATTAGAGAGATGCAGCATTGCAGGCTTTGAAGATAGAAGAAGGGGGCCAAGAGCCAATGAATGTGGACAGCCTCCAAAATGAGAAAAGGCAAGAAAACAGATTCTAGCCTGAACAGTCCAGTAAAGAGTGCTACCCTGCTGTCAACTTGATCTTAGGTTGGTGAGATTATTGTTGGACTTTTGATCTATAGAACAAGAATATAACACATTTACATTGTTTAAAGCAACTAAGTTTGTGGCAATTTGGTATAATGGCAACAGAAAAATAATAGAAAGAGAAAATATGTAAGTGTGTCCTGAGAGATATCACACACAGGTACTCTCTAAATGTTGAAGGAATATATATGATCATTCTATAATGTACAATATTAAAAATCATTGAGTAAAAAAACTTTTAGTTCAAAACACCATTACAAAGCATGCGACTATTTTTTCTAAATCATTGTATTTCAAGACCATTAACTATCATCAAAAGCAATGAGAATAAAAACTACTACGTTTTTATTTAACAAACACTTGAAGAACATTTACTATGTGGTAGATACTATTATAAAGTCTAAAGTCATAGATACGTTATAAATATTATTCATTTAGTTCTATTAACCTACAAGACAGTCACTATTATCATTCTTCTTCTACAGACAAAGAACAAACACAATTTTGACGAGCTTTCCCAAGCAAACTTCCCCAAGCTTGTAAGTGGCAGAGCTAGAAATCAAACTCAGGCACTCCGGCTCCACAGTACCTGAATTGTGCTTCTTCTAAAATCATAACTGAATTGTATATAATAATCATAATGAAATCATATATATTCCCAATACATTGTTTCATATATTTATTTAGACTTAAGCAGACTAAAAAATTGTATATATTCTGGATTATTCTTCCCAAATTGTTTGTTGACCAGTTACTAAGTACCTCCTACGCCACAGGCATAGAAGAAAAAGAGAAATGAATAAAACAATGAGTCTCCCCTTAGAGAGTTCACAGATTAGTGACAAGAGACAGATGACACAATAATACAATAATTTATATTTTCATGAAATAATATAAATTCATTAAAGCAAAACCATCTCTTATGGCCCTATTCTCCATGACTTCCTCATTTAGAAGGGAAGGTAAGTATTGAAATAAACAGCTGTGTGATACCTTTTAAGTTACGGTAGAAGCATGTAGCTGGTACCAAGAGGCACAGAAAAAAGAAAAATATTTGTAGGAACTGGCAGAGGGGACACTGAATGGTATGAAGGAGGAGATACAGAGTTTTGTAGTTTAGAGATCATTTCAGCAAGCAAGGATAGGAAGCCTGAAGGGTAGTGAGGCTGGAAGCCACCAATTTGTTAAGAGATGGCTTAAAGTACAAGGATAATGAGGGTTTGAATTAAGGCAATTGCAGGAAAGATTATTAAAAGAGAGAGTGAATTTGGAGTGGTATTAGCAGGCATTATGGACAGGGACCCAGGATATGACATTGTCCATACTCCTCAGAATCCCCTCCACACACATAAGTCTCCCTCAAAGAACAGTAATAGCAAATGAGAGCAGTGAGAAGTTACAATTGATGACTGTGTAAATATCCAGCAGAGGAACGGCAAGAGAGAGTCTCTGGAATGTGTGAAAAGTCCTGGTGCCCTTCTAGAGAGTTTGAACATTAGCCTGCAGATACTAGGATCTGGACAAAGTAGTTAGAATGCATGATCAGATAACAGTGAAGGTACCATGGTTAGAAAGTTAGATGCTAGCCTAGAGTGAGGAGAAATCAGCGTCTGAGAAAGGAGATAGTACTGTAGTGTATTAAAGTTAAAATTTTAATTTTCAGTTTTTATTTTCAGGAAAGACTGATATCTAAAGGCAACAATTCTTTTTATAATAAATACTGTTTTTAAAAGTTGATTTGTCATAAATAATTACAGCTAGCTATTGCTTGCACTGCATAAAGATGTTTCAGTCAATGATGGCCCACATATATAACAGTGGTCCCTAAGATTATAATACTGTATTTTTACTGCAATTTTTCTATGTTTAGACATGGTTAGATACACAAATACTTGCCATTGTGTTACAACTGCCTATAGTACTCAGTACAGTAATATGCTGTGCAGGTTTGTAGGCTTGGAGCAAAAGGTTATCCCACATAGCCTAGGTATGTAGTAGGCTACACCATCTAGGTTTGTGTAAGTACACTCTATGATGTTCACACAACAAAATAGCCTAATGACACACTTCTCAAAATGTATCCCTACTGTTATGAATGACTGTATGTAGAGGCAGTGCTCTAACTACCTTACATATAGTCTTTAATTCTCAAATATTATCATTGGTTCAGTTTATTGTTAAGTCTCAGAGAGGTTAAGTAACTTGCCCAGGGTCATTCAGTAATGGGTAGGTGGAATTTGAATCCAAAATGTGATGCTAGAACCTGAATTCATAGCCACTGCATCATTAACACATGTTTGGTTAAATCCAGATATGGAGACATTATTTTTATTATGTTGAGCTTCAGAGCATGCATAGACTCTGGAACCAGACTACCTAGGTTCAGATCTCCATTTCACCATTTAATGGCTGTGAGAAATTCGACTAGTTACTTCAGCTTTCAGTACCTGTTTCCTCATCTGTAAGTGGGAACAATAATAGTGTTTGCCTCCTACGGTAGTTCTGAGGATTAAATGAGTAAATTTAGTAAAAGGGCTCAGAAAAGTACCTTGAGCATATTACATAACCAATAACACCTATTATCAATATTATTATTCTAATATAAAGTATTGAGAATAGTGGTATGAAACACTGGATATACTGCATAGCCCCAATTGAGATCTGAGATAGGCAGAATAATGGCTCCTAAATATATCCATTCCCCAATCCCTGTAGGCTGTGAATATGTTCCATTATTACCGCAAAAGGGACTTTGCAGATGTAATTAAAGTTATGAACCTTGAGAGGGGGAGATTCTGTCTAATCAATGGATTCTTAAAAGGCTGTAACTGGAGAGATACAGCAATGGAAGAAGAGGAAAGGAAGATTTAGAAGGATGAAAGGGTCTCAATCCACTGTTGCTGGCTTTGGAGATGAAGAGGGCCACAACTAAGGAATGTGAGTGGCCTCTAGAAGCTGGAAATAGCTCTCAGCTGACAGCCAGCAAAGAAACAGGGAGAACAGCTACAACAGCAAGGGACTGAATTTGTCCAACAACATGAATAAGCAAAAAAAAAAAATCAGATTCTTCCCTTAACTCTCTTGAAAGGAACACAGTCCTGTGGACACCTTGATTTTAGGCCATTGAGAACCATGTTGGACTTCTGATCTACAGAACCGTAAGGTAACAAACTGGTGGTGGTTCGAACTTCTAACTTTGTTACAGAAATAGTATTAATAGTAAACTAATAAAAGATCCACACTTAACTTTTTCCTAAAAGACTCAAACATATTGATTTAGGAACTACATAATATTCTAGAATAAATTTAACTTCTTAAAGTCAGCATTTTAAAACTATATTAGGGACATAAATCAATATCTTATTTATATTTTTATTGTTAAATTCTTAGAATCTAAAAGTTGCTAAAAGACTAAAGAGGATATAAAATGCTATTACAAAATATTTTCATCTTTTCTATGTAAAGGTAAAAAAATTCAATTTTAATTTTTTAACTTCTCATAGTTAATGAACAAATTAACTTTGATTTTTTTTTCCTAATATTTTTTAAGTCCACAGCCAAGTTCTAATAAAGGCGCTTAACATGTCACTAGGAATATATAAATTCTAGGTTTAAAATAACTCATGTTTTGCATTTACAGAGGTAAGCATTTACTAAGAAGCAAAATATTCTGTCTTGGTTATTATTTACTTATTCACTGCCTCTGAATTTATATGAATTAGCTCTGAGAGAGTAAGAGCTGTGTCTGTTTTCTGTCTTCACATTTTTATCAACACTGCCTAGCAAAACTCCCGGGCCTCAGAAAGCTTTTGTTAAATACATGAATGAAAAATAAATATATCTTTAAAAAAGTGGAAACAAAGCTTCCCTGGAACCTCAGCTCACTAGCTCATGGGAAAACTAACAAGGTGTACTGTATCTACAGGTTAAACATTAAAATCCAGAACTTATTTTAAATATTTTCAACAGAATGTTGTGTTATATGTTTCCCCGCATTCTGAATGAGATTAAATATGTTTCAAGTTTCTTGATAATCTTTATTATTTTCATTCACTACTGTATGATGTGCACATGACATACACAAGGCTCTATGAACCAGAATTTGCTTAATGAAAATGTCCTCTACGTCAAGTCTTTGTGTGAGTACTTTACCCCGTTCCTCTCAAAAATTAAGTGAAGCACAGCATACGTGTAGGCTACCTGAAAGAGGTGCAGCGTGGCTGGTTTTCTTCACAATTGCTAAACGAAAGGCCTACTCTTCTTCAGCAAGATTTTTACTCTCTAGAACAGCAGTATCCATAGAAATAGAATGGAAACCACGTAATTTAAAATTTTCCAAAACATTCTCATTTTGACATGTAATCAATATAAAATTAATGAAATATTTTACATTCTTTTTCTTTTCAGACCATGCTTTAGAAATCTGGTGCATGTTCTACACTTAGAGAAGACCTCAGTTCAGACTAGCCACTTTTCAGGTGGCCAGTGACTACTATACTGGACAGTTGCAGCTCTAGAAAATCCACTCCCAAACCCCTAAGTGAACTACATACCCTATCAACTTATAGCTTCTACTCTGTCTCAATTTGTACCATTGTTTCACAATTTCGATAGCATTAGAGTTCATTAATAACTTTTATTTTAGCAAGTCTGCTCCATGGGTAGTTTCTGAAATGAAAATACAAGCCCCCCCCCCCAAAAAAAAAACCTAATAACTGTGGTTCTACAGTATACGCTCTTTCTCGATGGTCTAACAGAGCTTTCGTAGAAGTGCCTGCTCCTTGTAGGGACGGAGAGTCGAGACTGGAGGCAAGAACTAAGACGTTCTTAAACCCTGCTACGTGCTGGAATCCTAAAGTGCCTACCATCATTCAAACCTTAGAACTAACTCTCCAGAGACACAGCCATTCATACCGCAGAACCAGATGGCAGTGGCGATCCTCAACGCCAGCTACACGTCACTGCCTGGTGAGTACTCTTCCCTCAGACCCCATTCCCAGAAGCTCTCCCTCGACTCCCCAAGGGGTAAGCGACCTGGCTGCCCTAATTCCTAAGCGTTACCGGGGAGATCTGAGGGCCTCCGAGGGCGGGAAACCTGAGGCCAGGCGCGCGCTGCCCCGAAGGCGAGAGCGTGTCTGGTCCGCTCTACGGGGTCTCCGGGGAGCGCTTTGCAGGGCGGATGACTGACGGGCCAGCTACCTTCCTTCCTGAGCCTGCAGATCAACAAGCTATCCTCCCTGTGCACACAGGCCCCGAGGGCGGGCAGGTCTCCAAGCGCCGCGCAACTGCCCTAGGCCCGACGCAGCCACCTGCCAGAGGGTTCCCTCCCCACCAGGCCATCCCTCAGCCAGTCCTCCTCCGACAGCGAACGAGGAACCCCAGAGGCACGGAGGCGTCTCGCCGACATCCGGCGACCCTTGCCAGAGGCCGTTCGCGGTGTCCGCAAGCAGAGAAAGCCCAGCCCTCACAAGCCCCGGCTTCCCTTAGGCCCCTTGACACTTGTAGCCTCCTCACTTGCGGCCCCTGACCCGGGGCTGACCGGTTCGTGACTCTCCTGCCAATCAGAGACAGAGTTCATCCGGCCAACCGACCAATCACCGCGCGCGGGTGTCCGCTTAGGCTTTTCGGCCCTTCGACCCTTCGGTTCTTCGGCTTGTCGGCGTTCGCGGCTGTTTGGCCATCCCGGGCCTTCAGCAGCGCCGCTAAAGCGCAGTGCTCCTTGGTGTAACTTTTTCTTTTTCTTTTTTTTTTTTAGCCACTTCCGGCTCCTGCGTCGCTCCGGAAGCCTGCTAGTTCCGGAAGCGTTGGTAATCCAGATTCTGCTAGGAAAAGACAAGCTTTCCAGAGAATGTTTCAGAGAAAGTTACGTGGAGCGTGGGCGTTTCGCAGACTCCTAAGGTCAGTGTCTGCCCCAGAGAGCCGGAGTGCAAACCCGAGGTCTTGTTTTCAGCTGGGAGGTCGTGGAGTTTCACGACCTTGTAATTGTCGCCGTTTGCTTTTTTTCCCCTGTTTATTGGCTTCCTGTCTTCCTGGAAGAGGCAAATCAAAGCTTCTGAATGTCGGGAAAGGCAGTGAAGCAAACCTAAATTCCAAAAGATGTTTTTAGGATCGCGCCATTAAAAATAAACACACAGCTGCAGTTGAGCCCCTCTGCATTCCACGTATGACTTAAGAGACGAACTTTGAAATCTTTTTCTCTCACTTGGCGGTTGTGAGGATATTTACCTCTTATAAACGGCTTTATAAAGAATTGAGGATCCAAGCTTTACTTAATATCTGAAAGTTTATGTAAAGTGTTATATGTGGTACAAAAAATTTGAGTATACTTAGTTTTCTAACATTGTCGAAAGCGCACGTAAAAGCAGTTTGATTTTCTTATGGGGGAAGAGATAATGAAAAGTTTCTGATAAAATTGCTTGCGATAAATTAGTTATATTTCACATTGTCTTTTGATAAGAAGTCTGAATGTGAGAAACGTTAACTTTTTTTTTCTGGGTTCTTAAAAATCGTTGTTTATTTATTGAAGTACCATTTTCCACATTTCCCACATTTAGTGAAAGGGCTTTTAGCAAGATGAGCAAGACTTGAACGTTCAAGTCTAACACATTCTATTAAACTTCCATGATGCCCCTCGGAAATATTTTATCTTGAAGTTTCGGGCAATTACATGATACTGGGGCGCTCTCAACACCACAGCTTGTAGTCTAAACACCTTCCCCTAAAGTGTTACCTTTACTTAATCCTGAACAGAGTGAACTTGGGTTGACTCTTTTAACTTACCTGATCTCACCTATATTATTAATTACTTGTTTCCAGAAAGATTACAGTTGAGTGATCTTGAGCCAGGAAGATATTTGAAAGAACTATTTACAGAATTAAAAAAACAAACAAACAAAAACCCTTCATATTTTTTCTTAAAAAAAAATATAAGTAACCGGACATGGAGTGAATACTAGACTATCAGACTAAAGAGTATTAGACTAAGTTGGATTCTAGTCCTGACTCTGATTGCCTTTGTACAGTTTTATCTCTTGGCCGTATTCTCCTTATTTTTAGAAATTAGTGTTAGTACTCAAGCTGGGGTTTTAAAACTGTTCCATAGGAGAACTTGTGTAGAAATTTTCTGGAGCTATGCAGGGAGAGACAAAGCAAGCCCACCCTCAGATTTGTTTTAACAAGAGGAGCTATTTATGTGTTCCGCTAGAATAACAAGGTTCTTGTTAAGAAGATTAAATTTGTATCTTAAACGAGATGATCTGCCTTTTCTTCTAGCAGTAAAATTCTGTTGTTTTTTTTTTTTTTTGAATATTCATTTGTACTCAATGTACCTTTATTTATTACAGTTTTTAAAAATAATATATTCACAGCTAATTTATTTCTAAAAGCTACAAATATGTTCCTACTCTGTTTCAATTTATTTTATAAATACAAATTTGAAATTGTTTTCTTTATGATCAAAATTAGAATTTATTATTCTGTCTTCCTCATATCCTTTTATTTTAGCCATAAAATTTTGCGTATATTTGATGCACATAATGATTCTTGCCGTAGGGAGGACAAATATTTTCCATTTCATATATTTGGTAGCTGAACGTTAAAGGTATTAGCAGGCTTGCTCATCATCACATCGATTAAAAGTTCTCAGTCCTAGCCCCATGTTTTTCTCACAACATCAAATAATTGTAAGTTTCTTTCCCTCTTGCACACGGTCCACATGCTCAGGTTCCTATAGCACAAGGAAAATGTGTGAATATGCACAATCTTTATTTCTGGCCAGAAGTTCTCTCTTGAATTTTTTCATTTTTTTCCTCTTTTGATGATCGGAGTTGGACAGCCTAGAAGCAAATTGGATGTTCTCTATACCTCTTTTCTGTGAAGTGATAACAGATTGTAAATGTTTCATGTTCCTTTTCCCTTCCTTTGGAATGTACAAGAAACCTCAGGAGAAAAGCCCTAAATTGCTCCATTTGCCCTATGTCTATAATCCTGCTCTTTAAAACCCAGCCCTGTGGTTTCTTTACATGGAAGTGGAGGCAAGGAAGGGATGTCTAGTATCCTCTGCCCTTCTCCATGCGGGATATTAATCTTCCTAACATATTCCCATCTATACAACAAAAATACCTTGTTCTATGTTGCTTCTTACTCAATTTAATATATTTTCTTTTTATCAGAGATCTCCCTTCTTACTGCCTGTCAATAAAATGAGATCAAATTCCATCCAAGTTATCTTTTCTTTCTTCTTATTAGTGAAACAAAAATCAAGAACTTCAGTGTAATTTTATTTTGATGATTCCTAACCACTTTTCTTTTTTTTGAGACGGAGTCTGGCTGTGTTGCCCAGGCTGGAGTGCAGTGGCATGATCTCAGCTCACTGTAGCCTCCACCTCCCAAGTTCAAGCAATTCTTCTGCCTCAGCCTTCCGAGTAGCTGGGATTGCAGGCGCGTGCCACCATGCCCGGCTAATTTTTGTATTTTTAGTAGAGACGGGATTTCAACATGTTTGCCAGACTGGTCTTGAACTCCTGACCTCAGGTTCTCCGCCCACCTTGGCCGACTTGTCTTTTAGTGTTAAATGAGTGAGTTGGCATTGCCTCTGCCTTGCATGTATGTGTTCATAATAGTTAATGTTCACACCTTGGGTTTTTCACTAATCTATTCCCTTTGTTCAGATTTGACATGGTCCTTAGAATGGTCGTTTGACCACATGTATAGAGAGGCAGGGAGAGGGAATGTAGATGAGATACATCCCAAGCAGCATGGAAAACTGTACCTCATTCCTTTAATTTCTTTCCCCATCTACAATCCTGACAGCTTGACTGGCAGTCTGGTCTTTTGAATGTGATCTTGAAAGGGAAAAAGATTTCTTTTGAGTTCTGTAGGATTAAATTTGATCCAAGCTTAGCAAATATCCATTCCACTAAGTGTATTTTGTATGTGCTACAGTTTTTCTAATGTTTACCATAAATTTACTAATTACCAGCTTGACTTTAGAAGGGTTGTTAATCTTCTCAAGCCTTAATTTTTGTCTTCTTAAAATGGAGATGATAATGTTGTACTTACTGTGTTGTAAGAGTAAATGAAATAAAGAATGTAAAGAAAAGTTATAGTGCCTTGTACATGATATATATCACATGGTAGTTCCTCCTATTCCATTGCTAATGGCTGTTTATTCCTTTGGGGATATTTCCACATTCTCTTGTACCATAAAATGTGCAATTAAATGTTTGTTTCGGTTATTTTCAAGTCATTTAGAATTCTTAAGCAATTAGATTCTAAAGCCTGTTTTTTAAATTTATAGAGTAAAGATCTAGCTGCTCATACATTTCATGTGTGTCTTGTTTGTTCATACTCGCACTAGTATTTTTCCCATAGTTTATGCCTATACTCTTAGTACTTGGCCTCTTTAAGGTAGCCCCATCTGTGTGACCTGTGTTACCATCCTAAACTTTTGGGTCTATCACCACGTTGTCAGTATAGGACACTGGTTTAGAGCTGGTTCTGCCCCCTCTGGTCATGGGATTTTACACAAGTCATCTAATCTCTTTGTGCCTTAATTTTCTTGTTTTAGAACAGAATTAATAACAGAACATCTTTGTTAGTATTATAAGGATTAAATGATTTAATATTTAAACTTGTACCTAGTAATTAGTTATAGTAGTCACTTGTTAGCATTCAGTAACTGCTAAGTGTTATGTGTTTTCTCTGGTTGTAAACAAGTTCATTGGGATTGTCTTCCTTAGTGGTTCACTGTTACTGTCTATGAATACTGTCTCTGTCTCCTGTGTCCTGCTCTGATTTCTCTATTCCTCATGTCCTATATTGTTCTTTTGCAATTAGAAATAGCTGTTCTTTTATTTTTTTCCCTTTCCCTTCCAAGATTTCCTAAAACAGTTTATATAAGGATTCTAGATAGGTAGGTAAATTTACAGTTGCTTTTTTTTTTTTAAAACCAATGAAGAGTGTAGTGTAATAAAATGACTTGTCTAGAGTCACACAGTGTGTTAGTGAACCTGGGCTAGAATACATACCTAATCAGAGGCAGTTTAACTCTGCTTTCCCCAATATTCGCTTCAGCATCTGTTCTTTATTTTCACAATAAGCATTCTCAGACTCAGAAGTATCAGGTTTCTGAAAGGAAAAAAAAATATGAGTGCCATGCTGTTATCTTAAAAATATACTTATAAAGCTAGGCCCAAGTATTGGAAATTCTTTTCTAAGGTTTTAAAAAAGTATTTTGTGCTAGTTTTAGATACTTGAATAACTATATTGTATATGAGATAAGTAAGGTACTCAGTTGATTGTATAAGACGCAATATAGTCTTGAGTTGTGTTGAGTTTTCTCTTCTCCCCAAATGGGGAAAACAAAAGTATTTTCCCCTCTTCTGGGGCAGGTTACTTAACCATTGTCCATATTTTTGAGAAATATGTGCAACTTTGAAGTTTATCTTTTAGATACATTTTAGAAGTGTTTTGTCATGTACCCACTACCACTTCAAAAAGAAAAATCCTATTTGGATTTTGATGAGGCAGTGTTCGTTGAAGTTAAAAGTAATTTAGAGGTCTATTGGACATAACACAGTTTTAAAATTTCACATATATTGGCTACACCCAAATGAGCACAACTGGGATTTACAACATCAGATGTCTATAAACTATTAAAACTTAGTTTATGTATGATGAAAGAGAAGAACAAGAAAGTAGTGACAAGGCACTTAGCAAGTCTGTGGCAGAAGTGGGATTTGAACTGAGAGTTGTTAGGCCTGTTCACAGTGCCAGAGGTCACAGTGTTCTAATGGGCTTCAACCATAGCCTTTTTTCTTTTGCTCATATTTGAAATGTGTTCTGGGAATCGGTGTCCAGTTAAATCCCTCTTTGATGCATGTCCCATTTATTAGTAT